TCTTCTGGTGTATTTTCTTATTATTTTTTCTTCCGTGCATTTTAGATAAATATAAAGCATTGACTTCCCCATTTATCCTCATCACTTGCAGTCTCTCATTTAACTAGACAACTTCCCATGTTGTTGAACTTCAGTCAGTGATATAAGGTGCTATTATGGTAATATGATGTGCTTTGCCCCAGAAATGCTAGCAGAAATGCTACATATTGGTGCTCCGGTGTCTGTGCTGTCAATCTTGTACTCTTATTTTTTTCTAAAACTTGCTTACACAGCTTAACCTCAGTATTTATAGCTAGGAGAATCCATTTATTGCAGTAAGAGGGTAGTAGCTAGGGTTTTTTTAGTGGTCTTTTGCAACACCACTAAGCATTGGCAACTACAACCCCAAAGAAAAATTACTAAAACAAATCACAAAAAGTCTGCCTGCAGATAGCTCCTTATTTGTGCTTCGCTTCCATGGTTTCATACTGCTGCCTTTCTTCATGTAGGGGATTGCTGTACATTGCTGCAACTGGGGTAAATTGGTGTTAAAAATCACAGACAGTAAGAAAGCCCGTCTTCAATTAATTAATGACTTTGAAGATTTAACAACTGAACTGTATCTTTAGCTAAATAATGGGTTACACTGAATAAGCAATTCACCACCTTACAGGTGGTGAAACCAAGGAGCAGAGGCAAACTAATCAGCAAACATAACAAAACTTGTGTATCTTACACGTTTATCCCCAGCTTATCCCCTTGAATGTACTGAATTGTGCCTAATAAAAGACTAGGAAACTTGGACTAATAATTCAGAATTATCAGATCTTCAGATGTGGAGAGGAAAATCTTAGAAATAATTTCTAACATTTTAATGTATTGTTTATTTTAGGCTGTATTGCCACAGGATGTTAAAATAATACAGAAACTTTGGGCTAAATGTTGCTTACAATATCCTTTTTAAATTGCATCCAGATGTTTAAAAAAAAATCTTTTTAGTATGTTCAAAAAGCCTGGGAAATTTTACATTTTTAATAAAATCAACATTCAAACAGAAATCTTGCATTTATATGTAAAAAACAGTATTATTATCATCATCATTATTATTATTGTTATTATTACTATTATTTTAAATGACACTGAAATGCTGTCTTAATGCAGTATGGTTTTTTTCTGGAAAATACCTTTGGCTTCCAGTGAGTGGGTGGAAAAAACAGACTATAGAAACTGTTTTAGGTACAAATTGTATTCACAGCTAGTTCATACTAAAACGTGAAATTAACTTTATTACTCTGTCTGCCTTTTCTCTTCCTGTAGATCTATTTCACCTCTTTATTTATATCCTGTAAATCTGAACTTTGGCATCTTTTGACATTTTAGATCTTAATCAAGCAATTTTAATATTCTTAGAAAGTAGATTTTACTACAGCCTGCATATATAACTAACTTTTGTAGTCTCTTTCTGGCTAACTGCACACAGCACAAAGGTCTTTCAAACCTCTAGCACTGCCTCCTGTAATATACTTTATAACATATACCCTCCTTTCATGCTCTGGTGCGATAACAAAGAAAACACTTTGATCATGAAATCTGGCCCTGTAATAGGAATAAGTCTCTTTTCTCACTCTTCAAAAGTTTTACTTCTCTGAATTGCTGCTTGTGGCACTGCATTTTAGTTTGGAGCACTCTGCTGCTCTGGAGCTGTATTAAATACTATTTGAAACAGAACAGTTATCAGGGTTTTTTTTGTTATTATTCTTTTATTGAGAGTTTCTCCAAAGAAAGAGAGCACAATTTCTTAAAGACTATGATCATTTTATGATTCAAAAAACAAAGGCTCATTCCAAGAGTTGGGAGACTTGATTCTATAATAACTTTGTGTGACACCCTTGGAAAAAGTTACTTCATTTCTTGGTAATATCTTGATTTTCCCATCAGGACAAATGTGTAATATAAATAAATAGGAAATTGATGCTACAATATCATCTCATGGTTTTTGTTCCTACTCCACAGTGCAGCCAACACGATGTATATTTTCTTGAATATCCTAATTAATCAGGCTACAGATCAGTTCAAATTATTATATAGAAATATTTTATATTAAAGACTTGTTATCAGATACTTTTCTCAAGAATTCTTTTTTTATTCCATATTTTTACTTCTAATAGTTGAGATTTTCAATACACATTGTAATGCCTTAATCTTTGTGTCCCGTAGATAGCTACAAATTCTTATTGATCTGTGTCATCACCTTGGCAGGACGAACACTGCTGGAAAAGCTCTTCAGCCAGCACAAAAATGCACCACAAGAAGAAGCGGAAAAACTATGTTCTCGCATTATTGCAATGGGTCTTTTGCTTCCTTTCACTGACTGCTTCAGAGAACCATGTAATCAGAGTGCCCAGCAAAGCACACCCACGTTTGATGTAAGTACTGAAGACGTTATCTTTTGTCTATTTTGCCAAGCAGCACATGATTTATCAATGGCTCATCAGTCCTGAGAGGATTCTGTTAGTCCTTTTAATGAAAATTGCCCTTATGAGAGTGGCCAGGCATTTTTTCTGAGCTCAGGTGTGTACACTTTTGTATCCAAGTAATCGTAAGTTTTAAAAGGTTCTCCCATAACTTGATTTCCTAACTTTTTGACTCATATCTTAGTCTGCTATACTGTTGTTTATCCATTGTTTTCATTAAATCTTTTTCTTTGAATCAAAGTGCTCTGTAGGACTAAGAACGTTTCAATCCAATAGCTGCTTTACCAAAAATATAAATTAAAGGAACAACAGAAAACAGCATGTCGCAAAACTTTACAGAACCCAAACAGGATGTCTATGCTAGATAATTTTTTCCCCCTGAAAAGCCTTTTGATACAAAATAGTGCAGAGGTCAGTGCAAATTTGCTGGCATTCCAGCTACAGTGTTTTCTGTGCCTTTGGGCTTTCTGGCCAGAGTGCTGTTATTGGTGGTGTTTGCATACCCGTTACAAAACTGTGGTGTAGACATCACCTGACACACTTTTCCTTCCTTTTGGATAATGAATTTAACATTAGGATGTCTTTCTATTGTATGATACTGTATAACCCATGAAGTTTTACAGTGACCTTATTTTTATGATCCTTGCCATCAAATTTTATCTTTGACACTTCTTTGTACTGGTTTATGTGACTGAAGATAATAAGGGTTTTTCTCTTCACTAATTAACTCAAAATAGTGTACAAATTTTAACTAATCTACTTAATACCTTACTGGTATAGTTAAGATCATACTTATTCTATACATTAAGCTGAAGCTTGATTAGAAATACTTAAAAAATGATTGGCATAGATATGAGAGAATGAGTCTTTTTAACTCTTTAAAGCTTTCTCATCTTTCCTGAAGAATGGTTTAACACAACTGGTGAAGGGAAAATGGGTAGAATAAATTTGTCCGATGAATTCTTAAAACAAACAAGCTTTCCTAGATAACCTAGCCTATCTACAAAATCATTCCATGATCCCTCTAACAGTATTCAACCTTTATGGTTTGTTTTTTTTTTTAAAACAATGTTTAAAACGTTTTCAAACTGTTTTTTGAAATTAATTGAAAAATGGAGTGTGACTATAAAACCGAAGTCATTCAGGCAACTTACACTTTCAGATGGTGTGTGATTTTATGTGGTTAAATATACTCAATAAAGTTACTGGAAAAGACACATTTTTTATTTTTCAGGTTGTTTAAAACAGTCTGGCAATGTTTTCAGTTCTCCTGGTTTTACCATATATTCAGCTAATCTCTTCTGTAGAGTATTGAATACAATATTCTTTTCAAAAAAGTTTATCCTTACTTATAAACAGATTTTATCAAATTAAAAGTTTGGAAAGAAGCAGAAGAGGCTCTTTTGTTAACTGGTATACCATGCTTTGTCTGAGTAAGAGAATTATTCTACTTATCTTTCATTGACTGTATCCAAGAGGACGGACTTTCTGAAAAGAAACTGTAACCTAGCCTAGTACCATGTGAACAGTGTGTCAAAGTCAGCAATTTAAGATATTGCTGTCTTAGCAGTGATCTTAATTTGAATTGGACTATCAGTAAGCCACAAATGCTCTGTTACTATTTTTCTGTATAAGTCCCCTTAATAGATCATGCTCCTGTAAAACAATGTCAGAAGTGGTGTAAAGTCCCATGTATGTGTATGCAACTAGTAGTGCATCCTACTTCAAAGGAGCGTACATCTGTCTTGAACACTAGGATCTCAACAACTGAATTTCACATGGTACAAAGGTGAGAGCTGCTGCTATTGAGTTTGGGAGTATGCTTCTGCTTCAGCCTTGGTGACCACAGTACAGGAACACCTACCTGTTTATTCATTACACGCCCTACAAAGATGAAAATATTTAGAACTTGAAGTATAAACCCTAGTGGCTGAGAACTTCAAAATTGGGCTTCTCCTAGCTGATTTTGCTTCTTAGAGTGAGGAAATTATTATCTTACAGAAAATAAATGCTAACAGTTATGTAAGGAAATGAAACAATTAGCAATTAGTGTGAAAAAACTTATGGTGGTGCTGTATATTACCTAAAAAAAGATATGTAAGATCTGTGACTCATTTCCCCTCTTGATCTCTCTCCATGTCTGTACTTTGCTTTTTTTCTTATTTAGATTTTCTTTTTTTTTTTAATGCATTAGAACAGGATTTTAATGTTGATCTAACCATTGATTTCAAAGACAGAGGAATTAGACTAGCCTTAAGTAATACTTATATTTCACCCATCTAGAATGAGGAGATACATCAACTTTGACCTTACTCCAAAATTGGGAGCATAGCCAGTCCCATATTCTTCCTTCATCTCTGAGTTCATCAGATGTGCCTCCAGTTCCATCCTGGATTGCCTCCAGTTTGGCTGGTGTCCTTTTCACTCAGCTGAAACTGCCATCAGCAAAGCTGCTGTAACCCTGTCCTGGTCCCAGCCAGGTTTGTCTGCCACCTCACTGCCCTTCCTCCCTGCTACATGCAGCTCTGGTGCTCGCTTGTTCCTTAATGTTACTCATTTGGCTGTTTTGATTTTTGTCTTAGTCTGGTTCTTATAAAGTCTCTTAGGTCACTCCTTTAGCATGTTTTTTTGCAGAATTGCCAACCTTTTTTCCACTGAAATCCTTCCTTGAATCCCTCCTTTTCTCCTTTTGTGACTGATCCCATGTATTTCTGAGCTTTAACTTACTATTTCTTTTATGTGGAATAAAATCCATGATTCCCCTTTTGCTTAAGTGTGGTCCCACAGACTTTGTTTTTTGAAGATGTTAGGTTACAGTTTATGAAAATAATTCAGTAAGTTTTGTTCACTCTATGATCTATTGCTCATGGCTTGAGATGAATATAAACAGATTATTTAAAAGTCCTATTCTCTCACTCTGATCTCCTTTTCTGGATGTCCTCCAGTGAATTTAATTTAACATGGCTAATGCTGAACTCTCTGCTGTCTTGAAATGTTTGCAATTGCACACTCTGATTATATTCTCATCTTCTTTATTACTCATGGCCGGTGGTCACCTCTAGTTCTCTCTGTCTTACAACTGTGTATCCAAATCTTGTGTCTTGTTTTCTCGATAACACACACGAGGTCCGTTTTTTTTCTTTCTCCTCAGACATTCCAGCCTTCAGTGTGGGCCTCTGCCTCACCCCATTAAATAGTTGTACACAACCTCTTTTACTTTTCTCATTAGATCTTATTTCTTTCTCTTCCACACTGTCTGACTGCAATTAGGCAATGCATTAAGAATAAAGACAACCTTCACAGATCTTAGTTTCTTGGACTAGCATTATAATGGCTCCTGGAAGCCAGTTTAAATTAAATTCTTAACACTTGTATTTCTGGTGTAGGTTACACTTTGTGGATGTGATGCTTACTCCTTTGTTAGTATATGGCAAACATGAAGGACCAACAAACACCCAGTGAAAGCATAAATCTTCAGAGAACTAGTAGCTGTCATCACATTTGTGCTGAGGATGGTGTCCAGTTTTCAGAGGCTTATAACTTGGTCAGATTTTGGATAGATTTTAATGAAGATTGGAAATGGCATGTTCCTGAAGTATCTCTGACCTTTTTGTCAAATTTCAAGTCAAAGCCCAAAGGATAGAAACTTTAAAACTGTTTTAAGAACTTATGAGAAAACTTTCATGTTCTATCTTGGCCCATTTTATCAATTATTTCTTTCGAAACAGATTGTGGCAGATGCCCAGAAAAAAAGATTAGTCTGAAAAATAAAAGTTGAACAAGGTTTTAAAAGTAACAAAAGTAGACAGGGTTGGAATTTTTAAGATGTTTGCTGTTGAGAAGCAGTGGAAGCTTTCACTATAGCTCTTCCTACCTACTCTTCTTATGATGTAAAGGGTATCTTAAAGAGTAAGTAAATGTACAATGGCAGATTCGCTGTCTAGAAATATGATGCCCTTTTTGCTAGTTTCCTCTCTTCTGGAGAGGCTACTAATTATTGCCTCATGGATGTCATGACTTCTTACTTCTCAGGCTATCTTTACAGCCTTTCATTCTTCTGCTAGTATTTTATAAAAGAAAAAAAGTTTTAAAAAAGGAATTTAAAAAAAAAAAATGGCCAAGCAAGTAAACGTGCAACTTATAGAAAGATAGATTAGCAAAAGCCTATTCAAAAAATCTTCTCTGAAAAATTGCTTGCCTTTTGAATAACTATTGCCTGCTTGCCTTTTAAATTTTTCCCTTAACAGTTGTGACTTGTTCAAGAGGGCTTCTAAAGTTTCAAATTAAAATAAAATATCCTCTGACTGAATGATATGTCAGAAATTAATGCTTTGTGAAAAACTCTGTCAGTCCCAAATGACTGTGTCATGTTATTAAATAATCGTATTTCTGTAGTGCAGGTGTAGTCCTAAGCTTTTTAGCATGTTACCTCATTATATTATCCTATTAGAGTAAAATAAACACAAGGCTGAGCTGGCTAAACAGTGCATCTTTGGCAAGAATGTAACGACAGGCAAGTTTTGCAGCCACCTGTTGGAGGATCAGAATTTTCAACAAGTAGAGATCTCATCTGCTTAGCTCCTCTGCTAACGATGTATCACAGAAGCTAGAAGATGATTATCTTTGGAGAGCCATCGGTAATGTTTATAAATTATACACATTTGCATTAGTTTTTAAACTGTTCATACACCAATAAAAGAAGGTGGCATTTTCCTATCAATGCAAGGCAACTTTATTTAGCTTCACTGTGCTATTAAGAAATATTGACTCAGTGTTTGCATTTCATCCAGTAGTTGCAATTACTACATGTTGTGGATGTCTAGTCCTTAATTATGACTTCCCATTCCAGTTTTTCCAGTTCACACTGTGCAGTCTTAAGCTATGGGCATTTTTTTCCTTTCATAGCAGATTTCTGCTTTTTTTCTGACAAGCTTTCCAAGTAGTTTTGTCTG